ATGTTGATGATCCATCAGAAAATGTTCCACTGCTGCAGTCAGAACATTCAGCGTCTGAGGAGGAGCTTCCTGCAGGAAAGTGGAGCAGAAATGACATCATCTGCTCTCTGAACTCTAAGAGTTTTCTAAGGTCCAGTTTAGTCTCTGCAGATTGTCTAAAGTCAAAGCAAACCAACCTGTTGTGCTGATGTATTGTCCTGGTTTGCAGCTCTTGTGTTTCTGAGCTGCTGAACAGCCTGAACCTGTCAGTTCCAGGCAGAAAAATCCTTCCAGAGCTTCACAAACTGTATCTGAGCTGCGTGAGCAGGGTTTCTTTACTTTTAGACCCGAACCTGGAAACACAAAGACAACTTGAAGTTTTAGACATTTGATGCTATCTCACATTTAAATCCTTCAGTTGGGGTCTATAAAGTAGAACTGCAATGCTTTGGTCCGATTTCCTCCTTACTGCAACTCTACCAACCCCGCCTATTTTCTAAGTGTCTCAGAAAAGGGGCGGGGTTTTGAGTCTGTCTTTTAAACTCTTAAGGAGGCCCCCCTCCAGCTTATAGACCGATTCAGAGGGTTTTACAACTATAGAGCTGCGGAGAAATTGGAGCCAGATCTGCAGACAATGAAGATCACCAAACCATGGTAAGTCTAGACTTATTTAGAAGTTCTGTCATAAATAACTTGATGCAATAGTTCAGAAAATATCACAGAAGGTAGAGAAAACTGAATGGTGACCCAAACAGAATACAAAGATATCTTTGCAGCACCAGGAGAGACTAAATTTAACTGTTCTGCCTCTGCAACAAAATGGTTTTATTTGCACAATATGTCCCCATTAGGTAATGTGAACACAGAAAAACAGCTTTTATATAAACAGGATTCTGTCACGAATGGAAAAAGAGAATCTGAATAGAAACAAAGTTACCTGCAGGACAAACAGAACATGCAGTACATTTTTTTAAACCATTTGGTTTATCCATGAATGTTTCTTCAGAACAGGAAACACAGAAAGTACTCCTAAACTCTGTGCAGTCTGTTTTAACCCGATTTCCTGTTGGGAACAAAAACACATTAGTTTTTATTAACTAAATGTTAAATTTACATGCTTCTGTCACGTTAAGACACATTTTTGTTCCATTACAGAGACTATAAATTGTAGTCAATGTTTTACTTTTAAACCAATTTTATTTTATGTAGGTAAATAAAAACAAAACTCAAGACAGATTCTTCACCAACAGTTTTTCCCTGTGGAACAAAAATACAACACACGTTTGAGGCAGGAGAAGCACAGAGGAACAGATCAACAGTTCAAATCTAAATGAACTCATTAACATCAGGAGAGTTCTTACCTGCAGGACACAGAGGACAACATTCTTCTCCTATCTGATACTCTGTAAGATAACATGTGATGGAGGAAACACTGGAGACCCTCAGCATAAGGAGCTGTGGAGAAAATTATTTATTATTAAAACAGAATAAATAATGATTCCACACAGGATGACAGCATCACTAAAGAATAAAAACATAAAGATCAGAGGGTGGGTGGTCTCTGTAGGGTCTTCTGATGTCTTCAGAGCATCACTGTGGTGGGTTTCATCACGGTAACAGGTCTTTAGTTCTCAGCTGGAGGATTTGAGGCTCATATGGAAGAAAACTTAGAAGCCTCTGGTCTTTTTCTCCTCTTGGTTGGGTGTGTTGGACGAAAGAGGAAGAGGACTGGTTCTGGTCCAGGTTCTGAACAGAGACCTTCACCTGCAGCCTCTCATGGAGCTGATGGTGTTTCCTCCACAACAAGACTGAAACTAATGCTGGAGGTCCAAGACCTTCAGATTAGAGAAAGTTCTGCAGATGGTGAACCCACACATCTGTAGCATGGAGTTAGCATTTAGCTACATCCTGATAGTCAGAGAGGTGGGTTAGGGCCCACCTGTGGTTATGTGTTGTAGTAATCTGACACTTTGCAGCAGAATGTGGTAAAAACATCAGAAACCTGTCAGACAGTGACAGATATCACACTGACCTGGGTCTGGTTTAGTCACTTTGTTTCCAGTTTAAAAATGTGTCACATTAACCACACTCTAACATTAGAAATGTTCTCTGAAATGTTGTCGCCTCTATACGACCACAGTAATGACAGTTTCTGTTGCTGGTTCTTGTTTCTTTTAGTTTTGACTCTGAGTTCTCATCAAACTCCCTGATGAGGTTTCTCAGAGCAACATGTGAGAATCACAGTCTGACCCTCTGTGGAATTTATTTTAAAGAAAGAAGAAGTTCCTCGGTATATTGTCAGGAACTCCTCACATCCTAAATTTAAATGTCGTTTCAGTTTTTATTTACTGCAAATGTTCAAGAAAACATCTGAAACTGAGGTTCTGGAACCAGATCACCACAATATGGATGGAGGACCAAAGAGCTGCTTCATGGAAGAAGAACCTCAGCTTAGCCTGTTAGCCTTTGCGCTAGCACAGACGCTTTATTGCCTTATATGTATTACCTCGGCGCTAGGGCGACAAACAAGCTAAACTGTTGTCCTCCATCCATATTTTCAGTTCCAGGCTGAGTCATTTCTACCTTCTCCTCTCTGTCAACGCTCTCTGGTTT